TGCCGGCACTGGAAAGGAGATGCCGCGCACGCGCACTCACGGGCCGCGCGCCGCCTTCCCACGCCCTGCGTACGTCACTTCCGGCGTGAGAGGCCGGGCCGGCCGGGCAGGGAGTGCGGGTCGGTTCTGTGCGCGCTGCCAGACGAGGCTCTCGCCGCCGATTGACCCGCCCTCCGCCCCGTAGCCGGGCCGGTGAGTGCCCCCGAGCCCGTGTGTCCCGGGGGCCGGGGAGGGGGGGCTCCTCAGAGGGAGGGATAACCGGAAGTGGAGCACCCGAGTAGAGAGAGACCCCAGGAAATGGGGACACCTGGGGAAGGGGTGACAACCGGAAGTGGGGGCCTCTGAAGGTTGTCGACGGAACGTGGGGTCTCTGGGGCTCCAGGAACGAAGGATTCCTGACCTCTTCCTGGGGTGGGGTGGGGAGGAAAGTGATGTTCTCCCAGTGAGGAAGAGGTCCGCCTTCACCCTAACGAATGTTGTTTGCACCCATCCATGCCCACCCATCAGTTCATTTCATCACTGAGTGGGTCCTGTTCTTTGCTTTATACTGCCCAGGCCCTGGAGGTTAAACAGGAAGCTCCAGGTGCAGTGTAGAGCTCAATGTAGGGCTAGATACATCCTTGCTCTGCCTCACTGGGTGTGTACCCTTGGGCACTTAGTCTGACCTCATTCCTTAATACTTACAGAGCACCGTCATGGGCCAGGCATTGGGGATAGCAGTGTTTGTGGCAGGCAAGTTGTCTGCCCTCATGGAATTTACATTCTAGTGGGCAGTTTCCACCTTTGTAAAATAGGAACAGTATTAGTGCTGTCACCAAATATTGTGAAGATTAAACAAGAGATGGATGTAAAGTGCTTATTATGGTCCTTGATACATGGTAAAACATTCAAGTACGTGTTATCTTTTTTCATTATTCCACTATGAGTTAAACTTCATAAAGCAAAGAATTATATTGTTTATTTTTGTGTGCCCAGTACCTGTAAACAGTGCCTGACACATATGCCTGGTGATCAGTAATTATTTGATAAATGAATAGATGGGTGAAACTGACTCAGGAATTTCAGGTAAACACACACATGACACTCAACTACAATTTCTAAAAGAGAAATAGGATCCCAATGCTGTAGAAAACTGGAGGGAATCACCCTAGGGAGGTCAAGGAAGGCTTCACAGAGGAGGTGACATTGAAGTTAGGCCTGGAAGGTGATAAGTTGTCTGGTTGGGAACAAATAAGGCGAGGAAATTTCAGGCTGAGGTATCAGAAACGCAGGAAGTGTTTAAGAATGGTGGGTTATTAGTTTGTTTGGGCTGGCATTTAATGTGCACTGAGAGGGGGAAAGGTAGGAGAGAGGCTGGAGAGGGACACTACAGTCTGTCTCCTGGCTGAGCCCTGGACTGGAGTTACAGGCATCTGTTGGCAACTCCCAGGAAAACAGAGCCCAGGGTGTGTCCTGTGAACCACGATTGTTGATCTCTTCTTCACTCAGCCTATCTCTGCCAAGAGATTAAACTCATTCAACAAATGTTTACGGAACACAGATTATGTATCTGACACCCTGTTAAGTGCTGAGTTTAAGGTGATGAACAAGACAGATGTGGGTGTTACGCACAAATCACCTACAGACAGTTACAGCAGCGTGAGAGAAATGCTCTGCTGAAGAACTGTGGAGGGCAAGGAGGGTCTCTAAGCTGGCTTGGAGTCAGAGACACCTTCCGGCTTCAAGCACCATCATCCCTCACCTGGATTATTGCAATAGCCTCTAAGTGGTCCATTTGCTTCTGTCCTCATCCCCTTCCAGTCCATTCTCAAAACAACCCAGTGATCCTTTTAAAATATGAATCCAATCCGGTTACTGTACTCACAACCCTCCATGGCTCCCACCAAACTCAGAGTAACTAAGTTCTTACTGGCCTGCAGCCTGGTACCGATTGAGCCCCCGTTTCCTCTCCAAATTCATCTGCCAATATTCTCCATCTTGCTCATTTGGCTTTTGCCATACTGGCCTCCTCTGTTCCTTGAAAAAGCCAGGCATGGTCCTACCTCAGGCTTTGCACTTTTTCTTCCCTAGAGACCTGCACGGCTTGCTCCCTCATCTCCTTCATCTCTGCTCACATGTCACTTGGATGTGGACTTCCTGACCACCCTACTTAAAACTGCAACTCCTGTCCCCAGGTATATTACAACCCCCATGCTTGCTTTATTTCTCTCCATAGCACTTAACATCTTCCAGTAGACTAGATCATTTATTTTGCTTATAGTCTTTCTCCTTAATTCATACCTAAGCTCAGTAAAGGTGGGTTTTTTTTTTTTATTTGTTCACTGCGGTATCCCCCAGTGCCTGGAAGAGGGCCTGGTACCTACTAAGTGCTCAATATTTGTTGAATGAATGAGGTGGCATCTAATGGGGACTGAAGGGTAAATTGGTATTGATCAGAAAAACCGGAGGAAGAGCATGCGAGTTGGAGGAAACAGAATGTGCACAAGGCAAGAAAACCACCTTTGGGAGGAAGTGAAAGGAGCTGGGTGGGGCTAGAGGTTAGAAGGCAAGGAATAGAGTAGGCAGACCTAAGATTTAGAGGGGGTGACCTGGTCACTGGCTGCCGTGGCCCAGGGCGATACTGGCTATGTGCAGAGACCACAAGATGATCCCTGATCTTCCTTGTTGAGCTCGGAGTGGAGGAAAAGTGACAGCCCATGGACAAGAGCTTGGGCTTTGGAACTGGACAGCCCTGCTGGGACCTTATTCCTGGAATATCTAAGGCAGCTGTTTTATTTTGTGGGTTTTTTTTTCATTCAATAAGTGTGTTAATTCAGATCTTCCAAGAAGCAGACACTAGGATGAGATTAGACATGCAGAAACTTATTGCTGGCAACGCGTCAAAGGGTGGGGAACTGGAGAAATTAGAGAGAGCTTCAAACAGTGATTTGAAGCCAGTCCCTGTGCAGGAGGTTTGGGCAGGAAGTGTTGGACTGTGCAGTTCCACAAAAGGTTTGGCCAGGCTGATAGGGCGTCCTCAAGATAAAGTTTGCCTGTTCAAGGAGTCCTACATTTCACTCAGTCATTGGGGCTATGCCAGTTTATTCTCTCATCAACAGCAAGCATATCACAGTACGTGTTTTGCACTTTTGCTAATCTGAATTTCAAAGGTGTTCCCATTTCATTAATTACGAGCAAGGTCGACACCCAGCCCTGCCCCTGTAAGCAAGGTCAGTGTGGTGGAAAGTGTGCATCCACTGGAGCTGGGGACACCTAGTTATGCTCCAACCCCACAGAAGAGCTGGCAGCTCAGTGTCATAGCTGCCATGATATCACATGTATATATAGTAAAGAATTTAACAGTACAGTAAAAAGTCTCTCTCTCTCTCCTTGAATGTCCAGTTGTCTAGTTCTGTTCCCTAGAGGGAACCATGGTTAACAATTTGCTTGTATTTCCTTCCAGAAACTTTAGGTGCATTCACAAGTATATATTTTTAAAATATAAATGCAATTCTTTTATTCACACTGTTCTGCAACCTGCTTTCTTTTTCCTTAACGTGTCAACTCATAAATATCTGCCTAATTCCTTTTTGTGACTGAATAGTTTTCCATTCATATGGTAATATTATTTAACCAGTCTCTAACTGGGGGACGGTCGCTAGTAAAGTGTTTCCAGTCTTTTGTCATTTTAATCAATACTTGTAAGGATCATCCTGCTGTGGACGCACATGTACAAGTACATGTCCTAGAAATGGAATGCTAGACCAAAGGATATGTGGTTTGTAATCTTTTTTTTTTAAATGGAGGTACTTGGGATTGAACCTGGGACCTCATGAACACTAACTGAATTTCAAAGTTGTTCCCATTTAATTATGAGTGAAGTCCACACCCAGCCCTGCCCCTGTAATCAAGGTCAGTGTGGTTGATGAGGGATGTGCACTCTACTGCCCGGGTGCCTCACAGAGATTCTCCCTTCATTCCGTCTGGAGTTGGGGCTGGGCACGTGGCTCAGATCCAGTTCATCCCTCCAGTCGACAATCACTGCTGAGGTTAGCTGGCTTGATAAAAACGTCCCTGTCCCCCTACCTCGTGCTGCGCTGGGGTTTGAAATGAGCAGTGCCAGGCTTTCTCAGCTTCGCTCTTGGGGCTTCTGTTTTGCAGCGATCCTGGAAGCTAATGTCAGAAGAAAGTGACTCTCTGCGAACCAGCCCCTCCGCGGCCTCACTCTCCGAGAATGAGCTGCCGCCGACCGCCGAGCCTGCTGGCTATGTGTGCTCGCTGACCGAGGAACTGGTCACCAAAGCCAGGGAGGAGCTGCAGGAGAAGCCGGAATGGAGACTTCGCGATGTCCAGGCCCTCCGTGACATGGTGAGGAAGGAGTACCCGAACCTGAGCACCTCTCTCGAGGATGCCTTCCTGCTGCGCTTCCTCCGAGCCCGCAAGTTCGACTACGACCGGGCCCTGCAGCTCCTCATCAACTACCACAGCTGCCGGAGAAGCTGGCCCGAGGTCTTCAGTAACCTGCGGCCCTCGGCCTTGAAAGAGGTCCTTGCTTCTGGATTCCTCACCGTGCTGCCCCACACGGACCCCCGGGGCTGCCACATCCTCTGCATCCGCCCAGGTACTGCCCTCACGGCCGCGGGGGGCCCCGGGATGTGTGTGCAGTTTGCGATGGGTCTGCCCAGCACCCTCTCTCCCTGTCTGATTCCCTTTGTCCCCTCCCTGTCTTGGTTGAGGCTCTTTCAATTTCCAGAGGACAACACCTTTCCTAACCTGACGAGACAAAAGTGGGGCTTTAGTCTAAGGAGATGGGAGCACAGCACCAGAGAGCTCTCTCTGGGCCCTGGGGCCAAGACCCAGCCTCCAACGTCAGGGACTGGGACAGCCGTTCTCCCTGTCTCTGCTTCTGGGTGTTGGTCGGTGTGTCTCTCTGGACCGCATTTCTGCTGCCCTCGGCACATCGTCTTCATACTTCTGTCTGTAGACTGGCTTTTGCCCCCTCTACGCACATGGCTAGCTCTGGCCCTCCTCAGCTCCAAGGTTTATCTGGCCACTCAACTAAGTTCCTTCAATGCAAATTCCAGGTCTCTAGGGCTGAGCATCTGGTGGGCTAGGGAAGCTGCCCTGGTCATAGGGTACAAGCAGGGCCGCCAGGACACCCCCAACCCCTACCCTGTCACTCTTTAATGAGTAGCTGAGGTACAGATTATCAGTGAAAGAGTCTGAGCTGGGCAGATGCCTAGAAAGGTGTCTATCATGTGCCTCTTCCAATCTCTCCCTCCCTCCTTCTGCTTTGTTAAGCCATTGAGAGGATTCGCTTTAGATTGACTTTTTGATCTCAGTGCTGCATGTAGGAATCAGGACACCTGACGTTGCTTTGGCACAGTAGTTTTCAATCGGGGGCAGCTCCCCGCCCCTTCCCCACAAAAAGCGTTTAGAAAAGTGTGGGAATGTGTTTTGGTTGACACAAGTCTGAGGGTGCTAGCACTCAAGGCTTCTGTGCTTTGTCCCCTTCCCTTCCGTGACATCAAATGCATTATAAACTCAGGAATGTTCTCCACTCTGCCCCAAAGATTTTCCATCAGAGCAGAGCTGAGAAAAAAATATGAAAGTAAGATTGCTGTGTTCTTCTTCCCAACTAAGCCAGGAAAATGAGAACATGCTGCTGACTCTTTTCTGCTCACGCGTACAAACACCCCTTGAAGGGACATCTAATGGGGGAGGAGAAGCCTCCGAGCACCTTCCTCTGCCTTTAGGCCCCTCAATACCATTTCCTTTAGTCATTTACCAAACCCTCTTGGGATACTAAACCATATTCTCTTGAGCCTTTACTGTATATCAGGCACAGTGTTAACTGCTTTACCTGCTGTTTTTTGTGCTTTCCAAAATTAGGGGGTGTTCAATTTAAAATAAGGAATGCGGTGGAGATGTCAGGGCACCAGGAAACCTAGAAACCAGCTAGCGGATGTTTCTGCAGCTCCTCTGTACTCAACTCATACGAATATTACAAAATAGTCAGGTGTTATCACCACACTGGTTTTGCCTCTTTGCTTGCATGGTTTCAGCTGTTTGCTCGTGAGATGAAAATTTTCCTGTATGTCTGTAGCAGATCTGGACCCTTCCTGACCCACTTAACTTTTCAGCAGGAGACAACACAGGTTTTTGTTCTCAGTTAGGTATTGGCCTTGCCTTTTTTTATAAGCTCTTTTGAGATATACTGAAATGTGACTGCGAAGGATGACAGCCAGTTATATAGAAGCAGGTTAAACTGGCAGTAACATTAAGCAGCAGGCTGGCTTAATTTGGGGACAGAGGTTTTTCCATAGGAATTTTGCGTGTATCTCATATCCCACTGGTTGCAGTCCTGTGGAGTTGTATCTTTATAATAAAGAGACACACAGATCTTGGTGGGATTTTCTTGAGAATAGCGGTTAACACTCAAAAGCTGTCATTTTCACCTTTTCCCCAAAGAGAGAAAGACTCCTTGAACATATGGGGAGGATTAAAGGAGCATCCAGCCTGGAAGGGGGAATTTGCTCAAACTACAGCTTTGAAAAGCCATCTCCATCTCTGCTGTCTCTGAGTCTCAGGCTCCCAGCCTCACCACTACAAGAGGGAAGAGAGATTTTCTCTTTCCAAAGGGCCATGGTCCCAGAATTGAGTCCCCTTGGTTCTGCTTGACCTGGCTTGAATCACACACTGTGGCCAGGAGGATGTATACCCATATTGGCCAAGCCTACCTCTGGAGCCAGGAGAAAAATTACCCAACCTGCATGGCTAGCATGGGAAAAGGTGGCTCTACAAGGAAAATCAGGGTGGTGTTATGAAGATAAGGGGACATATGATGGCAGAAGACTCAGATGTCCATTAAGCATTATTATCCCATTTTACTTACGAGGTGATGTAGCCCAGAGTGAGGAAGTAACTTGCCCAAGGTCACACAGCTAGTAAGATTCAAACCCCCAGGTGCATCTGACTTCAGAGCTTATAATTTCAACTTCCACACTCAGCTGCATTTCCATTTGAGAATGTGCTGCTGTGTTTGGACTTAAGAAAGACCAGAATTCTTTCCTTTCCATTTTTAAACAACAGTTTCAGCAAGGAGAGAAATCTTAGCCTGTCTGATTACTTGTTTGTATTCATTTCTGTAACATACTGTCCATCTCTTTTGACCTTAGACAGATGGATCCCAAACAACTATCCGATTACGGAAAACATCCGAGCCATATACCTGACATTAGAAAAACTCATTCAGTCTGAAGAAACCCAGGTGAATGGGATTGTAATTCTTGCAGACTACAAAGGAGTGAGCTTATCAAAGGCATCTCATTTTGGCCCTTTTATAGCCAAAAAGGTGATTGGCATCCTTCAGGTATGGTCCCCATGCGTCGTGTGCCTGCCCTGTGATTGTTTGGCTTCCCCATGGCCCTGACCATTTACTTTGAATTCCACGTGATACACAAACCCAACTTCTCACTCCTCCCCACAACCGGGAAGATACAAAAGCATTATGGGAAGAAATTTAAAAGTCTGGTTCCTCACTCATTCTCACCAGGATCTCCAGTAGTTTCTGGGCAAGATCTGCTTTAGGGCAAGAGACCAAAAAACGAGAGAAATGCTTTCTGCCTTTTTTTATTTTTTGGTCCAGAAGGCAGAGAAATTCTCAACAAACAAAACAGAGAAAGTGTGCTTCTGCTTGAGGTGACACAGCCTTTCCTCCTTCCTGTGGGACCTGAGCACAGCCTTTTGGGCTGTGTTGGTCAGATGCTTTCATACCTCATGTTCTGCATTTAAGAACACAAGGCACTGGGAACCGTAATCCCTTACACATCTGCAGTGTATGAGATGGTTTGCAAATGCAAATCCCTTTTTTTTTAAATTGAAGTATAGTTGATTTACAATTTTATATTAGTTTAAGGTGTACAGCATAGTGATTCAGTATTTTTATAGGTTATCCTCCATTAACCATTATTATGAAATAAGGGCTATAATTCCTTGTGCTGTACAATATATCCTTGTTGCTGCCAAGCACTCTAAGTCATTATAACCCATTCAGCCCTTTAAGGAATCCTCTGAGATAGACAAGGCAAGAATTGTTTCTCCTTGTTGGTAGAAGGGGAAACAGACCTACAGGATGTGGCCTGGCCCACATCTCCCAGCTCTGGCAGGTTGGACCCTCGTTCATCTGACCCAGCCCGTGGGGTGCTGTCCCCTCTGAGCTCTGGAGACACCATAGTTCTCCTCGTCGAATTCCACAGTATGTTTGAGACCCTCCTGCGCACAGGCTGATTATTTAAACATTTAAACGTCACCTCTAGTCATTATCATAAATGGGAATTCTGGCTTTGAGCCAACACTCTGCCTTTCCTTATCTTCCACTCTTCTTTGGATGCTTCTGCTGAAAATTGTGCAGACTCAAGTGTCAGGGTAATGCATTTGGATCAGTGATTTTCTAGTCCTGTAAGATGATCCCAGGGAGAAAAAAAATTCCAGAGTTAAGTAAGTTTGGGAAATGAGATGTAGCATGTCACTTTCTTGTGTATTTCACCACAAATATTTGCATATTGAAAGCCCTGAACGGTCCTGCAGTTAAGGAAACCTGTTTGATTATATTTACTATTTCTCAAACTTATACACCTGCCACAGAACCCTTTTTTGCATCACATGTAGTAACATCCTGAGAAATAAGCTTTGGGCAACACCAATCCAGAAGGTCTGATATTTGCTAGATCCGTCCACATAGGCTCAGACCATTGGTTTTTTTTGTTTTGGTTTGGTTTTTTTTGCCACAAGAGGGGTACCTGTCTGCTTGTTTGCCTAATTGTTTCTTAACCCTGCTCTAGATTCCAAGAGAGACCCTTTCTCTGAGACTTGTCTTCCTGTTTAGCCCCAACTTGGGCTGTCTTTGAGGAGAGTGGGAGAATCAAACCAGACTGATGTTGGGGCCAAAAGGGAAGATTGAAATGGGGAAGGGAGGCTGTTGTAACGAACTTTGCAGATGCTCCGCGTGTTCTAACATCCTCTCCCCTTCCCCCTCAGGATGGGTTCCCCATTCGGATAAAAGCAGTGCATGTGGTGAATGAACCTCGAATATTTAAAGGCATCTTTGCCATCATAAAACCATTTCTGAAGGAGAAAATAGCAAACAGAGTAAGTGATGATCCTATCGACTTAAGATTTTTTTGATGCTGCTTTATTTGTGACATCTATAACTTTACTGTGACGTCAATAAACTTAGTTTATTATTCTTGTCCTGGGACTACTGTTTTGGAAAGTACAGGGTTACAGATAAAAATAAATGAACAATCCTTTTTGTGAGAGGAAGATGAAATTCATGAGAATATAATATTTGACAGTGGAGAAAGGAGAGTCAGGATCGTGATCGTGAAGAGTTCCTGCTTGTAATCACTTAGACTTTTTAATATCCTGGCCTGAGCATCGTGAACCAACACTGTCTTTTTTTCATGGAAAGGGGTAGTCATGGGGCAGGTAGTTAAAAAGAGTCCTGGCAATTTCTTACTACAGCTCCTTGGGCTTTAAAAATGCTATTGAAGCCCTTCCAGCTACCTAATTTGTTGTCTTGCTGTGTAAAATGTGTGGAGTAATTCAGTTTATGAGCTATGTGAATTTTTTAGTTTAGTTCTTATTTCAGGATAGATGACACTTTAAAAGACAGCCTTCCTCTGTGACCCAGAAGAACCACTGCTCTTTTAACCTTTCCAGGACTGTGGTGAAATGTGATGGGTGCTATTTTTCTTGCTCTCCTAGGCCTGGGAACATGGTTGTGGTCACTCCAAAGCCTGGGTTTCAAAGAGGAAACATACAAAAAACTCAAAGTTGTAAGGGAGGGATCCAGATTCTCAGTCCCTTTCCCTGAAGATTTTAACTCATCAGTTCAGGGGTGGAGCTCAAAAATCTGGGCTTTTAAAATCTCGGCATAGGTGATTCCGATGAACTTAGTGGCCTTCCTATCTGGGTTTGAACCCATGTTGGTTCCTGGAGCTCCTGTTTGGAACCTACTTTTACCAAAGCAGGTTTTGGACGAGGTCTTTTACATCTATGAAATGACCTTTTTGGTGGCCCATAATCTTGCTCACTTGGTCCTTCATGTGTTCATCCATCCATTCATAAATCTTTATCGATCAACTTACTCTGTGCAAGTATGTTCTAAATGAACAAAACAGACCAAAATCTCTGCCCCCAAGAAGCTTACGTTTTAGAGAGAGAGAGACAGACGATGGATTAGGTGTGTTACTTAGGATTAGAATGTACTAAGCACTATGGAGAAAAATAAAAGGGGGCAGTGAGAGCTGGAAGAGGGGAAGGGGCTGTATTATTCAACAGGGCAGTGAGATGTGGTGTCATTGAGATGTTAAAATTTGAGAAAAGATTTGAAAGAGGTGAGGGAGTGAGCTTTACAGTTATCTGGGGGACCAGCAATGCACAATCCTGAGGTGGGAGCACACCTGGAGGAGCAGCAGTGGGGAGTAGGAGGAGCAGGAGGCAGAGCAGTAACGGGGCCAGATTGTGTGGGCATCAAGTGGACTCTGGCTTTTAGTCTGTGTGAGATGGGAGCACTGGAAGGCTGTACATATTAGAGGAGTGACGTGATCTCAGATTGAAAAGAGCTTACATTGTGGTGGGACAAGGGTGTGAGCACAGAGACAAGGTAGGAGGCTGTTGGGGAAATCTAGGTAAGAAGTGATGGTGGCGTGGTACCACTAGGGTGGCAGGGAACTGGTAGAATTCTGGATATATTTTGAAGGACTAGGCAATAGGATATGGGGTATAAGGAAAAGAGGATTAGGATCCTCATGTGTTTTGAGGAACTGGAAGGCTAGAGTTGCCATCAACCATTCCTTTATTCATTCAACATATACTTGTTTGAGCACCTACCATGAAGGTTACTGAGTTACTGATTAACCTGAGGGCACGTGTGCTTTCCTTTCATTCCCTTTAGTTTTTCCTACATGGGTCTGACCTGAACTCTCTGCACACAAACCTTCCAAGAAACATTCTCCCCAAGGAATACGGGGGCACAGCTGGAGAGCTGGACATCACTGCTTGGAACGCCGTCCTGCTGGCCTCGGAAGAGGACTTTGTGAGAGAGTTCTGCCAGCCTGTCCCTGCCTGCGACAGCATCCTAGGCCAGGCCCTGCCGCCCGAGGGGCTGACCTCAGATGCGCCGTGTGATGACTCCATGCGGGCTGTGAAATCACAGCTGTACTCCTGCTATTAGTCAGTCCCCTGTGAATGTCACCGTCTTTAAAACCTTCCCTTCTTTCTCTGGAGAGGCACACGGGGAGTTTGAGGTGCCATGGATTGTCTTGCTCCTTGTAATTAAACTTCAGTGTGGAGGAAAAGCCTATAGAGCTCTAAGGTGAGCCGTGAGTGAGCCCGTGGTTACTTGAATTACTCTATGGAAGAGATGGAGAAGGTCTCCTAGTGATTCTAGACATTTGGATTCCCAGTGTGCAACCACCATTCATCTGGAAGCCGTATCTGGTTCTTACATATCTCAAGGCAAGAAAAATCAGGACCAAAGTTGTTTTGGTCCCACGTTCCAGGAGAAAATCACCAGGCTGGTCCGTCAGCACACTCCTGTGAAAGAGTTTGGCTGAGCCTGCAAGGCGGCCATACATGAGACCACGGGCATTTGTGTCTTTCACGTGAGCCCTAACTACGGATCTTGGTTGCTCATCAAGAAACTTAAAGTTGGTGGTCCAGGCCTCGGTTGCCATCACTGGGTCTGGAAAGCACCTTCACTGAATCATGCTAGCATCCAGACAGAAGCAGCACTCCCGGATCAAATTTGGGAGCCAGGGACTCCAAGCCCTTCTGGGATTCATCGGCTGACTCTTGCAATAGAAACTTAAGTTTACCCAAACCCATACAGCCTTAGTCCTGGTTCTCAATAGAATCATACATGATCCTAGATGTCCGTGATTTTACTCAACCTGAAACACTGGATGCTAGGCCTGTGTAGCTAAAAGAATTCTAGCTTAAGAATTAAGAGGCCTAGGCCCCCGCCTCAGATGTGTGACTGTGGACAAGACATCAGCCTCCGTGGGCCTCAGCTTTCTCATCTGTGAAGTGAGGCTGGATGAAGTGATGCCTAGGGCCCTTTTGGCTACTCTCCAGATTCTGGGATTTGGCTTAGTTATTTACTGAATATTAGACATCGGTTTTCTGCCCAGAAAGATGACTCTCCAGATGATTCCAGTGTTTGGATCCTGTTTTTTATGGTACACACGGGCCTTTCCAAGAGGGATGTGTCACTTTGGGGCCCTGCCTTTAGAGAAACTAGTATGTATATTCGTGGGACTCAGCAATACCCACTTTCTTTTCATCGTGAGGGTTAAACTTGATAAAGATGGCCTTGATGAGAGCAAGTGAGATGCCCAGCATCTTGTATGAATTCCATCCATCCCTCAGGCTCTGGCACTACATTTTAAACTCGGTAATGGTGAATGATTAAATTACTCGGGATTCTTAAATTTTGGCCTCTGGGAATGAACACAAGGGTATATATTATTCTGGGGACCCCCACCCCACCCCCACCCCTGGCCCAAACCTGCTTGAGTTTCTCTCTCTGGTGTCCAGCCAGACTGAATGTTAGTTCTGCATTTCAGCACTTTAGACTCCTCCCGTCACGAATTTAGCCTTAGCCCAAGCACCAAATTAGGTGGTTCACCTGTTGGCTTTTGACCTATTTCCTTTCATACTCATTCCATGCAAATTGTGACGTTAAAAAGTGACAGGTAAAGCGAGTTGTGTATGTACCTTCTCTGTGCATTTGTTAGACCAGAAGGCAAGGTAGATGGCTCAGTTAGGACTGGAGCAGTCCTCTGAAATTCAAAGGTCAGTCTGTTGTTAATAAGCTGTTCATCTCTCTTTAGCACTTTTTTAAATGTCTGGAGAAGTTGTTGGTGGAAATTACTGTACCTCATTAGTGCCAATTCTGGGGAAAACTTTTCACCATAGATACTAGCCCTGGATGCTCTAGGGACCTGGCTGAGTTGGAAGTGTCAAAATGCACACCCCTGGCTGTCTCTAGTCCCATCTGACAATGATAGTGTGACCAGCATTTTGCTGAAGGTCTAAACAGGACAAGTGGGATGGCTATAGTAGAGGGTGCTGAATCCAACCAAAGAGGACAGAGAGGTTAAAAAACAAAACAAAACAGAGAGACATAAATCATTCAGCCCCACCAAGTTTCCACGGTTTAAACTGCATTGCCTTCCTGGCCAATTGCCTTTATCTCTGTGTCTTAACACAGGGATGGACAAGCTCACCTAGAGAAATTTCTCAAACACCAGGATGTTGCCCACTTTCCGAGCTTTTCCGGTTGGACCAAGGAGCTATTTCATTCAGCTTCTGAGAGGAGTTAGCGCAAGGGTTGTCTGCCTTCGGGAGTTGCTGTTTTATTTTGGCTCCAGAGAGATCAAATGGTTTTGGCACCTCAGGGGGTTTCAAACAGGCTGTGAAACAAGGACCTCCCTGGGTAGAAAACATGGCAGTCCCCGCATGGCTTCACCAGGCATCTGTACCCAGTTGCCCCCGCGGGTGGGGCAGTGACCATGGGAGCACCCCGGGAGCTTCACTCAGTAGGGACACGGTGACAGAGTTAAGTGAACCCCACGAGAATTGTGTTTTCCTTCAGGTAAAAGTTCTGACCCATTTCACAAACAGCTGAAAATTAACTTTTCCCTAAATTCAGGGTAGTGTGGTGTGGGTGAGGGAAATAAAAGTAAACCAGGGGACCTGAGTTCCAGCTTTACTTTGCCATGTGGCCTCGGATCAGCCACTGAACACCCCAAATCATCATGTAATAAAGGGGAACTACACTCTGAGCCCTGAACTCTCTGTTCCTATCATCAGAGGCTTTGTTCTTTTCCCCCTCAATCTGGGTTATTCTTTAGGAAATTTAGGTCTGAACGAATTGATAGCTGAAGCTTCCAAATGAATCTGTAAGCTTAAGTAAAGGCGAGGATGTCCCTCTTCTACTCAGAATTCTGGAAAATTGTGCTTCTTCCTGGAATCCTATCCTACCTTCAAGAGCAGAGGCTGGAAGAAATCTACAGAAATAGCCGGGAGTGCCACCCTGGCTTCCCAAGTTTCTTATTTGTCTTGGCAAAGGTGGCTCTAGCACCCTCACACTTCATCCCACTTTCACAAGGAGCCACCTGTCCTTAAAGGTGGACTGACACTTCAGTTCACAAGATACTACATTTTGTCAGAAATAGAGTCAGGGTAATAAAAGATGTTTTCCCTGAATTTCTATGAGCTACTTAGCCTTTCAGAATTCTCCCTGGGTGCGCAGTTGCTTTAAATGCCATCTGATTCTGATCATTCATAGGGTTGCTTTTTCATTTGGGTAGGAAAAGTTATAGGACTGTTGTGGCATTATTGTAATACCTCGTTTTAAGTTTTTCCTTTGAAACCTCTTCTTTCCTTTAGGAAGTAAGATGTTTGGTAAGCTAATGACATAAGTGTGGCTGGCCTGTGGCATGAGGGTGTGGATACCAAACACGAACATATCAACTGCAGGAAGGTTGTCAGTTCTGGTCACACCTTTCAGTATTGGGATCTGTGAATTTTGTAAATCTCAAGATTTTGCGTTCTGCTTGCCTGACTCCGAAATGGTTTGCTTGAACTACAAGTAATAAACATCATCAGAGTCAGATATTCTTCCTTTATAGAGCTTGCTTGGTGGGAAGGCCCGGCGGCTTTGTGGATGGAGATGCTGGTGACCTTTTTACTCTTTGCCGATTAGCTGCTCTTCCTTTCATCTCACTGGGTGCCACGTTGTCAGGCAGTTAAGAGGCTGCCACTGGAATTCTTGTGGATGTCGGCTTCTTTGGCATATCAAGTGGAACCTGCTACAAGTGAAATACTTGAAACTCCTCTGAGGCCAAGAGCCTCTGACATCACTCTGAAGGGGTGAAAGCTGGACTAACTAGCTGACCAGACTGGACCGCCATTTCAGCCACTGGTTGCATTCCTCGCTTCAAACTGAAATTTCAGTTTGGCTTCAAGTATAGGGACACATGGTGATGGATTCATCTACTTCAGTGTTTGTTTTGACCAAAAGTTTATTTTTCTAGTGTATTTTCTAAGTCAAAATGGTGGAAACACGTAATTTTAGTATGCATGACTGGGTGTTAAATAATAAAAATCTCTGTCAGGTTGAGTGTGTGTGGAGTTCTTTTGTGACTGGTGGTTTGGATAGAGGTTCTGAGGATTTAAGATTCATGGACACAATAGCCTGGGCAGAGCCTCTTGTCTGGTGAGGCAGGAGGAGGTGCTGTGGAAGGACAGCGCATTGGTGGGCTGAATGCCTCTGAAGACCGCAGGCAGGGAGAAGACAGCCATGTGAAGAGAGAAGGTGGAGCTAGATGCACACAGTGACAGAGGCGACATGCGAACTTATTGCCCAAGGCCCAGATGTACCTCGCGGACCGGCCAGGAATCCTGACGGCTGACGATTCCTGACAGGTTGTATGGGCTGGGCATCCGTGGTGTTAGATGCTTCACATACATAATCTCATCTAATCTTCAAGCACCCTTAATGAAAGAGTATGATTGCCTCTGTGGGGAAAGTGAGGCACTGAAAAGTTAAGCAGTTGTGCTCGAGGACACGCAGCTGGCAAGAACTAGCAGTGGGATTCAGGGCCAGGCAGGCTGGCTGGAGCCCACGACTTCCTCCTGATGGTTGGAGTGAGGCTACGCAGTCAGCCCCCAGATGGAACATAGAGGGAAAGATGGGAGGAATTTTATAGAGTAGGAAAGTGTTAGTGTAAAAATGGGCTTGTTTTCTGGCTTCTTGGAAAATATAAAGCAGAAGTTCTAAATCTCTGAAACCCAAGTTGTAATTGAACATTTGATTCTGGAAGTGCCTATAAGTGAACCCAAACTCCTTAAGGGGTGACTAGGGTGTGGCTTGATCAACTCTGGTCCCATACTGTTTAGCTGTTTCTCCACCTGCCCCTGGTCCGTCTCCCCAGAGGAGGCAGTCCCCACGGTGGGCCTGGTGTTGGTGATGGGTCAGCTGACAAAAATACTCTCGTGCAGGATGTCCGTATGCTTACTGTTGGCTTAAGGTGATGCAACAGGTAAGTACTTACATTGCAACATACCAGCTCTTCAGGTCAGCCTTCCCTAGGAACTTAAACACACTCTCTCACAACTGCAAAAAACGGAGCAAATGGCCCCCAATCCTTTTTACCGCACAACAGTGTTCTAAGGATCAACTTGGGCACTTTACAAGCCATGGGAGTTATTTTCCATGTTTTAAGTCAGCACTTCCTGGTTTCTCTTCTGAAGTACCTCTTAGTTTTACACTGTGCCCACTCCTCTTAGCACTCCTTCAGCATCCTATATAATCAATGGCCCCAAATGTTTGCTGTTTTTGCATTTAAAGCTGGTGAGTAAGAAAATCCTTTAGGACGCCACTTTTCTGGGAAAAAAAATTTTTTTAACCAAATGTTCACCCTCTTACCCGATAAAAGTACGAGTCACTTGGGATAGTGACCCAGTAAGACAGTAGTCACTGTCTTTAGGGAACTACTGACTTCAATAGTAATGGGTAGTTTAGAGTACCAGGTGACTCCCCTCCATGTCTCTAAGCAGTCTCTAGTTTATCTTGTCTCCTGTACCCTTATGGGCTCAGGGAAATTGGGATCTAACTGGAAAAAATCAAGCCCTGGGTTTGTTTCTCTGCTTTGCCTCTGAGTAACTGTGGGCAAGACACTAAACTCTTTAAACCTCAGTTTGCTCTATAAAGGGGGGTAAGAATAATCACACCTTTTAGGGCTGTGGACAATGTCTGTTCGTTGCTTGGTACATGTTGCTGGTTTGGGGTACTATTATTTTTCTTCACCTAAGGATATAGGCATCGTGTGGTTTGAGTCACCCAGTAGCGATAATGAGACCACTGAGTAGGTTGCCTGATCTGGGCTCCTAGGTAACAGGACGGATAGACCAATACGAAGTGTAAAGAGATGAACAGCAGCTCCCATTAAGAAGCATAAGCCTGGCACCCGCCATCAATCCAGAGATCAAATGCATGACTCACAATACTGAATACTCACTTCAGTCTGAAGGTGTAAAAAGAAAAATATAATCGAGCAAGGACTTGTAATGGACAAAAAAGCTGTCCTGGTTTAAATTAGGCCTGAGTTACTGGTTTGGTCCAGAACATCAAAAGCACTGAAAACCAGGAATATGGCCATTCTTTGGCAGTATCTTTGATGCAAGAGAGTTTTATTTCCCAACCAACTTAGTACCTAGCAAGAGCAACCTAGAAAGTGAGCATCCAACATGGGCCCACCAGTTCTCTCCTGGCTGAAAGTATGTAGAAGAGGCAGCCACGGCTGTTGCCTTTGATGAATTCCTACAGCACACTGCTGAGCTCAAAGCCGGGGTCCCCCCGTATGCAATAGTGGGGGACGGACAAGCCTGCTCATGGTGATGAGATACCAGGTGACTCTTCTGGAATGGGATGACACCATGAGGTACTGATGATTCAAAATACGCCCTTGCTTTAAAGTATGATCCTGGGCTTACTCAAAATACTGACTTTTTTTTTAAATGCATATGTATAATTCAGCACTCAATATGCAACTTGAGTCTTGAAACTACTGGGTGTCCTAGCAACAGGCCAACTTAACTTAGGGTATAACCAAGCAAAGCAGGGATATGGCCACCTCGTTTTTAAACAGAATTTGTTATTTCAAATTAATATCCAAGTTATCATCATGAGAAAAAAATAAAAACTTTATTGGACTTTGTTACATTTATTTTACAATTTACTATTGCTTTTATTTTAAGTACATAAAGCGGGGTATGGTACATGGTAATGTTTTTGAAGTTTAGGACCTTTAAAGGTCTTGATTGGCTGGCCCTGCTTTAAGAAAAAAGGGGTGGTTGCTTTATACTGGCAAATTAAGGGGCTATACCTTCCCTATTTGCCCCCCAAAATTCCTTGTAACTTTATCTCTGCACCATGGCATGAATGACTGGTTTAAAAGATGGTGGTTCCAACAATTCATATCAAGCCCTGCTTCATGACCCCACACCTACAGCTCAACTGAGATTGGCCCCTTTATGTTCCATCTAATTCTATAAGAACACCTCAAATCTAACCTCTATCAGATTATGGCTAAACATCTCTGAACTTTGACTGTTGTCCAGTCTCATTTTAGCCTGCACTGAGATTAGCAGCTACCACAAGTCTGCTTCAAATGGGTTAAGCACTTTGCAGAGTAAATTTACTCTCTAAACAATCTTATGTACTAGGTACTATCTTTTGTTCAAACAAAGGAAACACTGAGGCTCAGACAGCTTGTCATTTGCCCAAGGTCATAAAGCACAGGATATACTCAACAAATAATAACTGACTAGTTTGACTGATAGAAAATGACAAAGCTGTTTGCAAACCAAACAGCCTGACTCCTGAGCCTCTGCTTTTAGCCATTCTTAAGGACCACTTCCATCTCCTCTAGCACAGCTTGTTCCTCTCCTTCCTGTTTTTCTTACCATAGAAATGGAACCACCACAGGCTTGGGTGATAAAAACCAGCATTACTCAGGAATCTACCTCTCCCCCATAGTTAATCAACTGCCAATTTAAATTTTTAAATTACTAAGTAGTTTTCAACTGTCAGTTTCTCTCCATCCTCACTTTTACTTCTGTTTCAAATCTTACATGGACTGCCCTGGTCTCATCTCTTTACATCCATTTTCCATATGTCAACCACAGGGACTGAAGATATCAATCATCTGTCCATGTCACTCTGAATATGTTCCCTGCTGCTCTCACAGAAGGTCCAAACTCTTCAGTGTGGTTTACAAAGCCCTTTGTAACCTACTCCCTGCCCACTTCTCCCCATTCCAGCTTTACTGAACACATTATTGGTTTCCCTACCCTTAACATCCAGTTTAGCCTACTCTTCAGCAATGCCAGTCCGCTTCCCCATTTCCCTCTTATTAGCTAACTCCTAACATTTCTTGGTTTAGACATCACTTTTTCCAAGCCTATCATGACACCTCCCACCCAGCACCTCTCCTTTGAGTTCTCTGCAATACCTAAATCACAGCACTAATTTACAACACACTGTACCACCTGTCAGCTCATTTTACCCTCCTCAAAACCCTAAGTCCAAGATGGCAGAGCCAGTGTCTGTCATGTTTAAAGTCGTATCCCAGAACTTGACAGGACCTGGGACAGAACACTTAGTAAATCTTCACAGAAAGAACAAACTGTTCCATTCCACCTCCCTCTGAGCTATCTCACCGGAAGAAGTTTCCTGACAGTGTCTGCCTTGTCTCTCATCTACCCAGTGTCTCACCCAGAAAAGACACTTAGTACAATTTTTGAATAAGCTCAAGACTTTACTCATCAGTCAGACCTGGTGAGTTTTAGAAGGAACAGGAGCATTCTGCTAGATGTTTGACAAACCTGACTGCCCATATAAGTCTAAAAAACATAGAATGGCTGCTAACTCATATAAGCTGTTTAAAAAAGGATCTTCAAAGCTTAAGTCTTTCTGTTTTAATCAAATAGCTTGATATAATTTTATCAATATAAGTGCAAATATAATTCACATGCATTATACTTTTACAGACTCATAACAAGATAATTACACAGACAGAAGTTGCACTGTTTTCCTAAATGAACCTTTGTTTTAACCAAACCTACAAAGCATTTATTGAAATTAACATTTCTGGCAAAGCCACGGGCTTAAATCAAGCAGCATCAATGCTGCAGTGCAAAAAAAAAAGGAAATGAAAAAACTCAAGATGTAGAAGCAGTAGCCATACCAGCAACCCCTCTTCTGGGGCAAGATTCCACAAACATACTCCTTCCCCCAAGCACTATGAATTTAAGGACTGAGCAGAGGGCTTGTAGCACACAAGTTAAGACTTTCAGGGAGGAAAACTGTCATAGAAATGCATCATTATAATTATTTTGCTTTTTAAGGATACTGCAATAGAAATATATTAATGATGGCCTCAAATATCCAATAGTTTTCTGTATTACATTTTAATTCAAAGTTCTAGTGTCTCAATAAAGAACTCTCTCACAGCACAGCTGTAGTTCTCTTTAAAACATAAAATGTTCCTTTTGCTCTATATTCTTACAAATAAACATAATATAGATATAAACGAAAAGTTCTGATCCTGAATTAAGCATTATTCAATCTTGTCCTCTGATATAAACCTGGATATAGTCTTATTTGCAAAGCATTTGCTTAATATTTTAGTTGAAGCAAAAGTAAAATGATATGAGCGTTCAGCAAAGGAGACCTTTATGAATTTTGGTGGGGTCCTTGGCACTCAGAGGTTCAGCTGAAGTCTCGATTGGTGAGGACGAGTGGAGCCACAAGGGTCCAGAGATAGAGGAGGAGGCAGACCCAGCTGGAGCTGATCTTGACCCACACAGCTGGCCACTTATTGGTCATGCTCTGGAAGTTTGCATCAGGGCTAAGAAAACAGCAGAGAGTAAAGGTCAAGAAGCCTAATTTCAGCCTTCAGCAGCCCCTCGGCAAAAGCTAAGAAATTCTCCAGTGAAACTTGACTGACACTACTTCCTAGTAAGTTTCTAAAAGGGACTTGAGAAAGCTGCTATTTTTAGTTTTTATGAGCAGGGGACTCCACCTCTCAAAAAGCTTTCATCTTCTTGCCATATGAAGCACCCTGACTATTCCTTGCAAAAAGTTCTTCAGGAACATCCGCTGGTCTACATATTGGTAAAAGTCTAGACTGAAATGACCTCCCTGAAACTTTCCTTCCTTATCACATCCTTATTTTGATCAGAAGAGAAAAATCTGTGAACAAAAACGAGTCAGATCTCTGTATGCCATGATTTTCTCTCTGAAGCAACTCAAGTTTGGAAGAGCTCCCCATGATTTTCACTGTAAAAATTCCACCTGGATTTTAAATTCAAGAGGAGAAAAAGTCAAAAGTACTTCACAAAAGAGAGCGCTGAAAACCACCTCATTACATTGGTAAAAGAAGGGGATTCTGAGGTCAGGAAATGGAAGGAGACTTTACAGGCAACCCAAAGGGGCTAAGTGATCTTCCATCGATTTCATCTCTGCCTCCTACCTGTACCAGTTGGTCAGGGTCATCATGATGTACAAGGAAGCCAAGCAGAGCATGAGGTGGAACATGGAGTAGCTGTACTGCACCCCTTCTCTCTCATTGTCCACAGCCCGCCGAGGCCGTCCATCTTCTTCATCACCGGCGCCGTTGGCAGCTGTATCACCGAGGATCACACTGTCACTTCGTGACAGGGTCAGCTTACTTACTTGGCTATTGTTGGAATTGCGGATGCTGGAAAACGATCCCAAAGAAGGTAAGTCACAAAGGGGCCATGCAGATGAAACGCTGTCACTGGCTTATACACATGAAGGTTATTTCTGAACTGTTCCTACTTTGGGGACCTAAGGACTTCCGAAGGGTGTGCTTAAAGTTCTGAACTGCTGCCTGGCCTCACAAGACAGAGACAGTACTCTCATCAGTTACAATTCGATGGTTTAACTGCCAAGGAGTTTCCCAAAACATACTATGCTCAGTGTCTGCTTCCTTGACTTCACAAGTACCTCTTCTTTGCTTGGAATGTACTGCCACCTTCTCCCAGGTAACTTACTCATTCTTTAATCCTCCAGGAAGCCTTCCATGACATCACTCCATCACTAGGCTGGCTTAAATTCCCACAGCTCCTTACTCTCCCTTCTGCCATATCATTTACTGGTCATGTCTTTCTTGCTATTCATAGAACTTTTTAACAACATTGACCTTAGTTAGCCACCTATGCATTTCTAGTACACAGCAGATGTTCACTAAAAGTTAGTTAAATGACTGAATAAAAAAGTACACACAAATAAAGGACAAAAATCACACGATCATCTCAACAGACATTTAAAAAAAGCATCTGACAAAAATCTGCTATTTTTCATGATAAAAACTCAAACTAGGAATAGAGAACTTCCCCAAACTGGCATCTATGCAAAACTCAGAGCTTACATCATACTTAATAGTGAAAGACTGAAAGCTTTCCCCTTAAGATCAGGAACCAAAGGAAAACAAAAAGAGTCATAGACAATATGAAAACAAATGAACATAGCTATATTCCAATAAAACTTCATTTACAAAAATAGGGAGCCAGCCCAAGGGCTGTAGTTTGCCAACCCCTACTTTAAGCTGTTGTTTAAAAAAAAAAAGGTAAATCTATACATAATGTGCAAAGCTGTCCAAATTATAATGACAAATTCATATGCACTTCAGAATAGTATATACACTGTTATATAATATATTCCTAATTTATTTTAAAAATTATATATCAAGTGTTCTAAATAAAATTATGTAACCATAAAAATATGCAGTTATTAGATATATAGATATATGTAGTTATATAGATCTACAAAAATATGCAGTTAAATCATATATAAATATATGTATTTTATATATGCTGAAATAATATATATCAAAATGTTAATCATGGAAGAGGTAAGTTTAGAGGGAGGATAATTTCATTTCCTATTTTATAATTTTCTCACTTATGTTATTAATTTATATAAATATATCCTTGCCCATTTTTATTATTTCATATTTAAAATTATTAAAGTAATATACACTGTTTTATAGACAACATCAGTAACAATGGGTGGGAAGATGAATGCAAACTGCTGACATAGGTTATATCTGGGGCTGTAGATTACAGACTTTAACATTTCACATATTTAATTCTGTAGTTGTTCAAATATTATTTACAATGATCAGAAAATAAAGGTTTCTTTTTTTTTAAAGATAAGCCAATCAATTTTCAGAGCCACTATTCTAGCTCATCTAGGGACAGGTAAGGGCTTTATCCTCCTATACAAAGGACAGTATCTCTTAGTAAGGTTGGAATTATCTGTTGAGAGGATTTACTGAACTTTAAGAAATGTACACAGTGGGTAACTGAGGCAAGTCAAGGACTTTAATAAAGAGTTAAGTTTTTTAAATTCTTCATATGGCTATTTGAAAGCAAAATGGCTTCTCCAATCTACTGTTATTATTATTATTATTATTCACTCTATCATTAACCTTCATGAGAATCTTGTCCTAAGTACTTTTTAACTTACCTGGAATACAAAAGGGAAATAACAAAAACTACCAGCCCAACAAAATTCTCTTTATCCAGAGAAGGCCCGCTCTGTGATGGCGGAGCAGGGGTAGGGACTACTGCAGTTGTATTTCCAGGAGCCAATGTTGATGCGGTCATGTGTGTAATGATGCTCAACAGGCTAGGGTTGCAGGAACGATCTGAAAGTGAGAAATTTATTACCTTTAGGTATAACTCATCTTGTTCTAAGAAAGGATTTGAGGGGTGTGCTGACACATCTTTCAGTCGTGATGTAAAACATGGGAATGCTATACTTCAAAGAATCTGCAACTCAGCAGTCAGTAATGTATTTGTATTACAATCAGGGACTTAGTTTTAGAAAAACAGAAAAGAAACCACAATAACATGGTATTTGTCAAATTTCACAAAGGTCAATCTTGATTTCAATGGTTTTGAAGTTTCACTGGCTAGTCTTTTTGGTTCTATAGTTGTGCTTAAAGCACAAGGAGTTTATACCTAGTTTTGTTTTTGCATAGTTACATAGGATCACAATGAAAATAAGTCCAGTCATCACTGGAAGGTCTGCAATAATGGTTTTCCTTGAAAACGAGTCCACAGAACATCCTATTGAGAAACAATCCATAATACCTACAAAAGGAGATTTCTTGCAGCTGTTTCTTCCAGAGCCGGTACCACAAAGTAAAATTCAATTAAAACTATTCTACAATGGGCCAAGACAGTGTTGCCTTGTCCAGCTCTTAATTGGTTTGACTTAGTCCAGGGAAAAAGCCTAGACCATATATAGGACTGTGGTCCTTCAGGCTGTCAGCTCTGAATAGCTCTGAATAGCTATAAAGAATAAAACTTGAAAGGTAAGTATGTGCAAACATACAGTGAACACTGTACATTTAAGTGACAATGTTTGTTTGTTCATTTGTTTGTCTGACATTTGCTCCAGCTCCAGTTTTTGCACCTGCCAAAGGAGTAATTTCTTACTTTGTTTTCAGCAAATGAATGTGCTACTGAATTCCCTTACCAGGTTCATTGGACATGGCTGACCACGTGAGGTACATGATGTAGAGGGTGATGACAGAGGACTGCAGGAGGCCAGAACGAGGCTGGTATTCCTATGGAATCAAAAAGAAAACAATGCCACAGGCATTGTAAGGGCTAAATTACTAAAACCCAGTGCACTTCCTGGGACCCACTGAATCGTTATTAACTGAGAACTTCCTGATTCTGCTTGACAGCTGAAAGATGACAAGTAACCTTTCGGTCTGAGTTAGTTTGAAAAAAGAACCAAGAAAGAGGAAGCATGTACTACTGGTTCTCAAGGCATTTTATAATCCTGGAAATTCCTGTGTATCATACAAAGGCTCTGATTTACTACTAGTCCCTCAGTAACAAAGCAAAATCTAAGCTAAGCTTTGCCATTAACTAGCAAGGTGACCCATCACCTCTCTGAAATTTCAGTTTTCTCACTTTTAAAAGGAGAGGTGATATCCAGATATTCTTTTCATATTTCATATCTGGAACTCCATGAATTTTTAAAATATGGTATTTAAATAATGAAACTCAGGAGTATGAGTTTTATTTTAAATATTAAAATCAGTTATTTTTTCTAGTTTAATACTCCTAAAATATCTTTGCTAATGATTCATAAGACTCATTCTCCTGATGTAAACAATTTTAAGAACTATAAATTCTCAAGTTACATACTTTTTTTTTAATGATAGGGAAATTATTCACTTAATTATAATACAGGCACTAAATGGTACATTTTATAGTGATTAAGTTATAATTATGAAGATTTTACCGTGTTTAAGTAGATAAACTTGCATGTAAATTCATATAAAAGGTTATTCAGATTTCAAGTTTAGCATTAATTAAAAATCTTTCACAGGAGGAAGAACAACTTACAACTATACCTGAATTTTTGGAAGGATTGATACAATAGAAACTGCAATGCAAAGGATTAGATTAATGCTGATGAAGAACTTGTTTTCTGTGCAGCCATCTGGTTTGGTGTAATATATGTAGAGCAATACGACAGAGATGATTGACAGGATGTAACAGATGCTTGTGGCAGACAGTAAAGCTAGAAAAGAGAAAACGAACGTGAATGTCCACAATCATAACAAACTTTTATAAAGAAGACCATTTTCTTCTATTTTATATAAAAATAAAGCTGCATTATTTCACTTTTATGATGGTCAGTAATTTACAGTAAAATTACTGAAGCCCCAAGGTTAAAGTTTCAGATTGTGTTCAGAGTTGACGCAATGTTAAATTCTAAAAATCCACCAAGCAACTGAATTCATTTCCTGGATTATCCGACTGGATTCTGTGGGTTGAAAAACCAGTTGCAAAATTCTCACTAGAGTATTCCCTAGCTACATGATATATAAGGTACATTATAAGCTTTTCTTGGGAAGCTAGGAGACTCCTGGGCCCTCAAAATGGCCCAATTCACAGCAAGCTAAATGCCAGGAATGGTGTTAGCAGAAAACAGCAAAGACAGGCATCTTTTTATGGCAAGTTTTTCTCTACAGCCAATGGCCACATAAACCAATTTCCTATTACAATGAGACCACATCATTGTGTTAAAGTGGCTCATTTGCACTTCTCAAATATCTAAAGTCGTGTTTCTTTCTATCCATATGGATAATCAACAATTAGCTGTGTAACTCTGAAAATTAGAAAACATGAAAGAGTATCCAGTACACTCAGACCAACTGTAGCAATGTTGAGTTCAATTAATTTGTGTTTACTTCAAAGCACAGACTTTTTTAAGAAAGCTAGTTTCGGGGAGGGTATAGCTCAATGGTAGTACCTCCATTAAATAAACAAACAAACAAACAAGCCTAATTATGTCCTCCACAAAAAAATGAAACAAAACAACAACAAAAGAAGCTAGTTTCTACTTATCTCAATCTCAATGGACTTTGCATGTTTAAAATTAAATGATGTACATGATGTTACTATAAAATGATAACGTATATCAAGTTATTAGCTCAGTTCTTAATGTTCTTCCATCTGAATATGTAAGATTTCTCTGCTTTTAGTTACTTCAAAGCATGGCAAATCTGCAATTTGGGTGATCCAAAATAAACGGTAGAAAACAGAAGCAAATAGGTAAGAAAATAAAATAAATTTTTATTAGAAAGAAGTAAAGGAGGAGTTTCAGGACTCCCAACCAATAGTGGCAGATGATAGACAATTTTTTAAAACTTTTGTTGAAATAATCATTACAAACAATTTAAGTGACCTACAGCAGGGCAATGGTTAAACAAACTGTGGTATGCCAGGCCACGGAACAGCATGGAATGTATAGACTGGAATACCATGCAGCCATTAAATGAATAGGACAGACTTACATTCACTGGTATGGAAGGACATTCATTCATCATACAGTAAATGAAAACAGCAAGTCATGCAACAGTAAGTACAATGAACTTATTTACATTTAAATTCAAAAACATATAGATGTGCATAAATATATAAAGGTCTAGTAATAATGGTTATATCTGGAGAAGAAAGTGGGTTGCTGGTGGGTGGAAATTTTCGTGTTTTATTCTTATACAGGGCTCCAAATCCTTCTCCATTCTCACAGGCTGTAAATTCTATTCCCAACCTAGAAATTTTAAGCGCCCCTTACCCACCAGAAAGCTTTTACAAGGAGTATAGGGTCACACTCTAAATAAAGCAGTAAGGACTGTTCAGCTTTATCTGCCTGAGGCATGTGAACAGATGTCCCATATGTAGAACCCATCTGAGTACCCTGTCCATGGAAATAAAATAAAAACCAGAACTACGTCACTAAATAAAACTAGTTTTCCTTATGTTTTTCCAGAAAACTGGAGGTGTTTACACAAGGAGTCTCAAATCTCAAAATAAATGAATTGGGAGAATCCAGTGATTTAAATCATTTTTGCTGCTCTATTCTAGTAATACATATAATTCAGAACTGACTGAACTGGTAATTATAATTTTTTAAAAGTCAGCTCTACATTGGGAGCTTATATGTTTACATCAACAGAAATTTTTATCGTCTGCCCTGTTTAACAGAGCGTAATGCAGTACAGCTCTCATTGGTGGTTAGATACCTACCGGCATACCAGCACTTGGGGTTCCCTTCTTCCATTCGATTTACCCATAATTCATTCCAAGAGTGAGCAAAGTCTACCAATAGCACCAGCTGGATGAGGATGAAGAAGGCAGCCCCCGTCATGCCAATAACAAACCAGGCTACAAACCAAATGCACAAAGTTATTCTTTACCATAGCAGTAACATTTCAGAATGTTACTGTCCAACCTTTAAAAAGATTTCAATTCAAGTAAGAGAGAGGTGATGAAGACATACTCTGTCTCCAGCAGTGCAGCGAGATTACTGCAACTCCAAACTCAAAGGCACTCTCTGAGAAGTATTGAGTCTTGGACCTTTTAAAACTTGTGCTAGCTTGTGCCAAGGGGAGCCTAGGATCTGACATTCCAAATGGAAAGAATATAAACCTTTTCCTTTACTTTACAGGAATAAAAATCACAGTGGAAATCCACAGGAAGCAGGTAAGACAGGGATAGTGGACCACATGGTTATAAGTCCTTATGTTGACAAGCTCTCTAATTAACTTAGTATCGCCAAGTGAGAAGGTAAAGTACTAAAATATTGGCAAACGATTAACATATGGTTCCAGAACAGCTGACAAGTGGGCTGAAAGCCTCCTGGCTTTAATTAATCAGTTAATATCTTAATATCACTACCAAGTCATGGTAATTGGACACCATTTCATTTAATTACCAGTTCTATAAAATCGGTAATGAAAATGTAGCTTTAACTCAATCATTTGTAGTCCGTGTACATTATAATTAACCCTCTTAATAGCGAACTATACCTGTGGTGAAGTGACCCCCAGGAATATAGAAAGATCCAACCATGATACCAACAATGGCAGCAATTTTGAAGAACCAAAACCTATTAAAATACAAAAGTGCATTTATGAGATGCTAACTTTTGCCCTTACACTGAGAAAAACAAATTTCTTAAATGTAAAAATAAAGCTGTACTAGCATTTCCAATATGATTGGACTTATGTCTTCATCTGACATGAAGCTACTTCATTCAATATTTCACACAATTTAAGGACAAATAATAGCAGAGACCAAATCATTCACATTCATAAGAAAGAAACATGTAACTTTAGAGTTTCCCTACTTTTAGCACTTAAAGATATGAATTTTTCTAGAATTCCAGAGCTAATTTAATGTTAGTGAAATATAGAGCAATCAACTTAGATCTGGGGAAAAGTTAATCACCTAATTCTTTTACAACCAAGTGAAACCATGCCCCACAGAGTTAAAAAACCCATTCTGAAACTGTGCCTCACAGAGCTGATAGAAACTGGTGACTAATTTCTTGAGTTTGTCTAACAAAACAGCAGCTAAGGGAACAGCTTGTTAAAGAACACCTCTGATTGTTTTGGGGTTTTTTGCAGGGGGGCGGTTGGTAATTGGGTTTATTTATCTTTAGAGGAGGTACTGGGGATTGAACCCAGGTCCTTGTGCATGCTAAGCATGCACTCTACCACTTGAGCTATATATACCCTCCCCTTAAGAACCCTTCCGCTTGTAGCCTCGCCTTCACTGACCAAGCCTGCCTTAATTTTTTTCAAATTCCATACCCGCCAAGCTTCATATAGCCTCAATAATACATCACACAACTTTTAAATCTTTTAGATAACACCTCTGACTTATGGGTTGCTATAGTAACAGAGGCTTAAGCTGTTTCTCAGAAACTTGGGAGTTCTTCTCCAGTTTGAGTTGGTTAAGGCTGGTTCAAACCACTGACCCTAAAACTGAGCCTGCACAGGTGTTCAATGAATGACCTTTTGATATCAGAGTGCCAAAAATTCCACCCTCATTATGCTAAGCATCTCCATTTTTGAATATGCATTTCGTTAAGAAGTTTGAAACTCAGATATGCCTGTGTAGAACACTAATAACTACACATTTTGCCTACTTCCAATCTCCTTTCCCCAAACCTAAGCCTACTGTGCTTCTTTATCCCATAAAGAACTCAAGCCCCTCGTCTTCGGGGAGGTGGATCCGAGATTAGTCCTCCTGTCTCTGCTGCAAACTTCAAGCATCTGTTTGGCCTGCTGTACGTCAGGCAAATGAACCTGGTTCAGTAACAACTGGACATAAGTGCCTTGCCCACAATCACACGGTTCATCACTGGCAAAGCCAGGACCAAACCTGGCTTTCAGTCAATCTTTAAAGACTGTCTTGTACGGCACAGTGGCTTTGGAACTGGACAGATCTGAATTTCAATCCTAGCTCCAACCCTCACTAGCTGAGAGATCTCAGGCAATTTATTTAATCTCTCTGGAATTCAGTTACTGCATCTGTAAAAAGGGGATTATAATACATATGAAGTTTACTAAATTCCCTTCCGTCTTCAAATGAGAATTAGAAATTTATGTAAAAGGGGAACTAGGGATCGGGAATGGGAAGAAACAGAATATATAAATCAGTGGCCCAAATATATTCACATCTATCTTTCTGTATACTATTTAAATATATCAGGTACATGTTTATCTTTTAACAACAGAAAGAAAAAAATGTGTGTGTGTGTGTGTAGTACCCACAGTGCTTGAACTGTTTCATAGGTGTTCAATAAAAATGTGGACACTTGAAGCAAAGGTTTGTTTTGTTTTTTTTTTTAATTAAAAACAAAAAAGACAAGACTCTCCTCATGCACTTAACCACCCCCATGCTGTTGGACTCCAAATGAAAATGACATCAAACAATTTCACATGTATAATACGTCAGAAATACATCTGGGCCACTGACTCACATACTCTACTGCTTTCTTCAAACTAGCAACATTAACTGCAGAAGGGGAGGAGCCACACCATACTATAACAAGTTAATCATAAATAATTCTTACATACCCATTGTGTATTGCTGCTCTGGGATCTTTACTCGTTTTCACTTTTAACATGAGCAGAGAGAAGACAAAGAAAAAGATGGCTAAGGCAAAGTTGATTCGATATACAGCTTTATAACGAACCAGCACATCACAATCTTTATCCACGATCATATCAGCCACTTTGGTATTAAATCCTTCATCACAGAATCCAGGAATCTGGAAAAAGCAATTTCAATGCCATAGGAATATCCACATTTAAAGAGAGAGATTCTATTCCACCATAGGAAAGCCTGGATTTATAAAACTGACCACTTTAACAACTGTAAAACAGTCCTGTGGGATTTTTCTCTTTCCCTCCAATTCACTTACAATCTTGTCACCAAACAGTGTAAACATCTTGCATTTTGAAAATAAAAGTCAAGTGTTCGCTTTTCTGCTCTTGTCTGCTGATGAGGTGATCTCCCATTTTCCCATGAATTTTCATGCTACAACTCACTCCTTCCAAAGGTGAAGGGCTAGTCTAGCTTAAATGTTTAAAATTAAACACAGCATGGAAAGACAAAGTTTTAGGGACACTCTTTAATATCATTCCCTCAGTTGACTGAAGATGTTCATTCTGACTACCTTTATTTTGGAAAAGGACTAATACCTTCATATTCTGTGTCTTGACTATATCCCAAATTTAAAATCCCAACCAATCCAATGAACTTGAATGAGTTTCACAATAATTATTAATTATGACTAAAATTTCACAAACTATAAAAATAATAAAAATAAGCCCTTCATTAAGGCTACTCTTACGTCCACTTACCTTCTTCAGCTGTGTTTCCATCCCCTCATGAAACATGATAAAACATACAATGGTGCCCAGGAAGAGAATGAAAGCATAGATGAGGCGAGTCAGAGTGGAATTCTTACTGTTGGGACAGCAACCACACAGCAAACATGACGCGCCACCGCAAAGGCACGGAACCTGTAATAAAGCACATCACTGCCACTTGACTCCTTCAGAGAACTCCTTCGTGACATCCAGAGCAGACACGAGGCAGACCAGGCCCTGAGAGGTGTTACTGAGGGAATGACTGCCCGGGAGGAAGGGCTTACAATCCTGGGCTCTGCAACCAATGTTATTTCTGCCACTTTACCTCAACAAGTTATACAATCCAAGCTTATTTCTCAAATTGTAAAACAGACTCAGTAACAGACTCTTCCTCTCTCAGACATTGCTATATTAAATGAGCACTCAACATAGTGCCTAAAACATAATAAAAGCCCAATATTAGTTATGCTCACGTGGAGAGCACATTTTATTTAAAAACAATATATCTTAATACTGAGAAAAACAGAAACCTAACTCCATTTGCTGTTTTATGAGAATCCTAGCTACAGATCTGAATTTACAGCATAAGGCAACATTACATGGAAACCCTTATGAATAATAAAAGCAAGAGTCATTTAGTTCCATTCAAGAGTAATCTGGAGATTCCTCAAAGTGAAACATAGAATTATCATATGAGCCAGCAACTCCACTCATATACACACCCCAAAGAACTGAAACAGGTATTCAGACAAAAAGTTGTACATGAATGAATGTTCAAAGCAGCACTATCTACAATTGTCAGAAAGCAGAAACAACCCAAATGTCCATCAAGTGATGAATGGATAAGTAAAATGTGGTATAGCCACAAAATGGAATATTATTTAGCCATACAAATGAAGTACTGAAACCTAGTACAACACGGGTGAACCTAGAAAACATCATGCTAAATGAAAGAAGCCAGACACAAAAGGTCACATATTGTGATTTCATTCATATGAAATACCCCAAATAGGTAAATCCAGAGAGAGAAAGCAGATTAGTGATTTCCAGAGGTTGGAGGAAGAAGGGAAACGAGAGTTGACTGCTTAATAGGTATCAAGTTTCCCTTTGGGGTGATGAAAATCTTTTGGAATCATATAGATGTGATGATGACAGTATAACACTGTGAATGTACTAAATTATACAATTTAAAATGGTTAATTTAATATTATGTGAATTTTACCACAATTAAAAAACAAACCAAAAAACCCACTGTAACTTGGCTCTTTGGTCAGCTGAAATCTAATGAGCATTCCAGATGAGAGGACATAATCTGAGTCATTCTTTTATATGCTTGATTAAGAAACCACCTGAACTGCTTTGACAGATGATGTTATCAAGTCACATTACAAGAATAGGCCAATTCAGAATCATCAGATGCAAACACTGGGGTATTCTGATCTTAGAATATGGCCCCAGTAATCATCTTTTATGAGACACTGTCAGGAATATAGAGCACCTAGCACAATACCTCTCACAGCAGGGCTCAGTCTATCCTGGTAACCATTAATAACCAAAATCACAGTAGCCATGGGGAATTGACCACCCAGCCCCAGTCTCTAGCTCTTAATTACAATCTGGGTCAAAAGACCATAGTAAAAGTCTGTATCTGGCCACAGACAGAAATAGAGACATTTTACAACTAAAAACAATGACACTGATTGCTTCAGGTTTATTTTGTCTGCACTCTCACACTCCTGGCTCTCTTTAGCATTTTTCCCCTAGCCAATTTCTCATAACTGCCTACTGTTTGCTATAGGTTGAATTGTGTCCTTCAAAATTCATATGTTGAAGTCCTAATCCCCAGTACTCCAGAATGTGACCTTATCTGGAAACAGGGTCTTTGCATATATAACTAGGGAAAATGTTCTGCTGGAGAAGAGTGGGCACCTAATCAACCATGACTAGTGTCACAAAAAGGAGAAACCTGGACACAGACATGCATCGCAGGGAGAACACCATGTGAAGATGAAGACAGAGATCTACAAACCAAGGAACACCAAAGACTGCTACCAAACCACCAGGAACGGGGAAGGAGGCCTGGAACAGAGTCTCTCTCACCACCCTCAGAAAGAACCCTGCTGACACCTTAACCTCAGATTTCTAGCCTCCAAAACTGTGAGACAGGAAATTTCTGTTATTTAAGTCACCCACTCCGTGGTATTGGCAACCCAATGTATCTACTTACCTGTTTATAACTGTCTTGTATCTTGAGAGGGGACCACCTAGTGTTGTATCTCTTGCACCTTTACATAGCAGGTACTCAATCTGTAGAACAAACTTGTCCTGCTATGCTATGTCACTTCCCTATCTCAGTAAATGACCACTCTTTTTGAGATAGGCTGGGTCTTGGAACCCTTTACTGGAGTGCTTACACCTTGGACCTACACCTCCATGAGCAACAGAAAACAAAGTAAACTAAAAATAACTGAACAATAAGATACAAAAAAGCCACAAGCCAACTGCCACTTCAGAGGTGCTGGGAACAAAAGCAGGGGACTGTGCATGATCCCTGCAGACAGCATCGCCAACGAGGTGGGCAGACCACCTCAGCTACGCTTCCTGCCCAACACACTGATCCCACACGCTCCTCCCACCCCACCTCGGGAGCAAACAAGGGCACCTGTTTCTTGTTTTCACTCCCTCGTGCTGCACTAGGAGCTCCAGTAAAGCCTTACCTTAACATTCTCATCTGCCCTCTTACCAATTGCTGCTAATTAAAGAGTCCAGGACCCAGGCTGGTAACATACTCTTCCTGTTGCCCAGACCAAAAACCCTGGCGTCATCCTTGATGCCTTTCTTTTTCCAAAACCTTCATCCCTTTTGTCAGCACATCAGCTGTATCCTCAAAATATATCCAGAATCTGACTACTTTCACAGCATCCTTAGCTATCACGTTGGTCTAAGCCCCTACTATCACTTCACCTGGATTAAAAGCTATAGTTCCTGTTGCTACAGCAACCCATTCAGAACCCAGAGTTAGTATAAAAATTATTTTAAGATGCAGACATGTGAGATTCAAAAGATGGAGGAAAAAAAATGTCTTCTCAGAGCTTTTTTCATCTGACTAAAAAAGCAGTAACTGCCACGAATTCTCTCTCCAAGGGAGTTTTATGGCCATGAAGAAGACAAAAAGACCTCTGCACCTACATAAACAAGAACTAACACAAACTTTCTTATCTCTTGTTTGTTCTCCTAAAAACTCAACTGTTGGTGGGGGGAGGGTATAGCTTAGTGGTAGAGTGCCTGCCTGGCATGCATGAGGTCCCAGGCTCAAACCCTAAAACCTCCATTAAATAAAAAAAAAAAAAACCCTAATTACCCCCCACAAAAAAAAGTGAAAAAAAAATTTTTTTAAAAAAAGAACGCAAGTAATTTAAAAAACCCAATTATTTTTCCTAAAGAAACCTATTTGCTCCCCCTGGCAGCCCTTTTCTGCCATCCCCTGCAATTAAGTCAGGCATATAATAGGCCCTATATTCTAACCACCCCTTTGAGTTATTCATCACTGAGAACTCCTGTGTGTGAGTTGCACAAGTAAACTCTTTTTTTCGCGTGATTTTTCTCTTCTCAGTTTAATTTGCAGGCCCCAACTACTAACTCATAGCGGATGGAAGAAAAGTTTTTTCTCCCTACACTGCTTTATCTTTTCCACCAGCTATTCTCCACACAGCAATCCTGTTAAATCACTGGTCAGATCACATCATTCCCCTTTTCTGCTATGGATCCCTGTAGTCACATAAGAATAAAAGTCCATGTCATTAAATTGGCCAGTGGGCATCTACATGACTTGACTCCCTTCACCTTTCTGACTTCATTTACTCTTTTTCCCCTCACTCTTTCCATTCTCTGGTACACTGAATTCCTTACTGTTCCTACTGAACAAAAGAAATTAATAAAATATGAATGGGATCTATAGATAGAAATGTTTTGATGGCATCAATTCCAATCTCAGCTTTACCTCAAAGCCAAAATGTGTTTCAGGTTTCAAATGACCAATTCACTCCTTAATTAATGACCTTAGTTACTTTTTTCTAAATTTGTGTTGTAAATAGTGAGTCTGACCCACTAGGGGCCTGGAAAAATCAACTGACCAGAAATTTTCTTTAATATGACAGAAAAGAAAAATTGTACAGCAGAGGACAAAGGTAAGAATTATTTCATGAAACTTGAGTCTAAATGGGTGTACTAAATCAACTGTGTAAAATTTATTTCCTATTTTGGATCAAGGTCAAAAAACTGGAAAGCCACTGCAATCTAGGAGCCCATAAATGACCAAAGCCCCTTCTGATTTAAAATCAACAATCTTAAAGGATGGAAAATACACTGTTCCTAAAAAACGGTAGTGGAATGAGCTGACAGTGAGCCCTTGATTAATTAAGTCAGCTGGGGAATTAGGAAACAAGAAAATGATGTCAAGGAATCACCCTCCTCTGAAGCGAGTGCATGAACGAACTCGGCATATTCTCTTCCACAGAGCCTAAAATATTCCTTTTAAAATATAGCCTTTACAATCTATCAAGTGATTCAATCCATTTATTCACTTCATCCTTACAACAGTTCTTGAAGCGAGGAATGCTAGGGTGACTGTCTTCATCTTAAGGGAAGCCAGAAAGAAATGACTTGCACAAGGTCCCAAAATGTTCAGACCATGACTTCCAATTGTGAATAATCCACAAGGCCTTCTTTCTCTTGCACCGGAACCGCAGACAGGCCTCGGTTAAAATCCCACCACTGCCACACGCTTCGTAGCTTTGGCAAAATCCTGTGCTATGGGATAAAAATATTATTCACCCTCCCCACCCATAAATAAATGACGCCACCCTAAGAAGGTGCGTGGAAATGAACCAGAGAGCCCCGGCCCCAAGAACTCTCCTTCGTCGCTCGTTTCAGCTCCAGAGGAAGCCAGAAGCCGGAAGGCTCGCGGAGGCGGGGCAATCGAAATTGTAAACAATGGAGGCCTGGCCTCTTAGGTTCCTCAACAAACCCAGAAGGCAAGTCGCCGGATCCCCATCGCAGGGCATCGCGAATTCTATCCTGGACACCCCCAATGCCCTCTGCAGCCCGGCCCGGCCCCCAAACCCTGTGCCCCTGGCGCTGAGGCCCTTTCGGGACTGGGCTTGGGGAGTCCTATAGCCCTCCCCCAAACCACAGGTCCGACGGAGAAACCGGACCCCAAACTCACCCAGCTAGCGAGGGAGAAGACCCCCAGCACAGCCCCCATGGTGACACCGGTGATGGAGGAGGCCGAGCCGGAGGCTCCTAGCGCGGTGGTAACTGCCGGTTGAGGCGCCTCCTCAGAAACGCTACAGTTTCTCAGGCCGGAAACGTGCGTCCTGCGTCCTTACGTGGCCCCGCCCATCGCCCGCGGCCGCTGCCGAGAAGGCACCAGTCATTGGTAGGAGGAGAAGGCGGGGCTGGGGAGGAGGCGGGGCTAAACCTAAATAAAGGAGCAGAGCAGGCTTTATTCTTTCATCTCATTTGTATTCACTGGGAGCTCACTATGTGTCAAGATTTGGGGTACAGAAGTGCATGAGAATTTATGGTCAAGTTAAGAAGAGACTGATGATGAACAGAAACATACCATGACATACTTTGGTGACTACAATGAAAAAGTAGCGTGAGGGAATATTCTTTCAATAAAAGTTTATTCAATGCCTACTATGTAGGGGGAAGGTAGTTGGGGAGTAGTCTTGGAAGGACTTTATATCTAATCTGAGGAATTTATATTTAGTCTAAGACCTGAAGGATGAGCCCAAGTGAAGCAGGAGAGATAGGCACTGTTTCCTAAAATGGGGGATAAATAAGCCATTTGGGATAAATGAAAGGATCCAAGGATGCATGTCTCGGTCATTAAATAACACTGAAAGGCAGGATGAGAAAGTCTTGCTTCAAATTAAAGAGAAAATGTGTTTGAGACTAGTACGTATTTAACATTTTTTCTAACATTTGCTTATCTCCCTTTTTAACAGAGTGAAGGCTTCACTTTCCAAATATCATCCAAAGGTAACCACTCTACAGTTAAATAACATTGTTTTAGGGTTTGTGTATGTGTGGATTTGCAGAAATTCTTACACTTCTACCAAGCAATGCTTGATTTCCACTTAAGCAGTGGTGTAAATTTTCCTTTGTAAATTTAAGTAAAAATTAAGAGTCCATTTAAAGAAAAAATTTTGAAAAATTATTTACTAATGTCCATAACAGTACAGGTGGTATGTAGATATGGCAACAATGGTGACAACGTTATACAAATGACTAGTGTAGGGGAACATTTACCTGGCAGTATGAGAACCTGTAGAGTTTGGATCCTAGAATATTTAGATTGGAAGAAGCTTTAGAAATATATTTGAATCTCTTTTTGTACAGAAAGAAATGGGAAAAGACTCAAAGTGAAATGGTTTGCCTAAGGCCACAGAAAGGGTTGATGGCAGAGGAAGAAGAATTACTCAAGCTTTCCTAATTCCTACCTCAGCCCTTCTTTCTTTTTGCCCCCCAAATTACCTGCCCAAGTCAGGCTGTTTCAGGACCACTGAATCTTCCAGGGAACCCTTAAAATCCTTCCTTCTTTCTGTCTGGACAGCATTGGACTGGGCAGAAAAAAAGCTAAGACTGTGATAAAGTCCATGATCCAATTCTACCAGGAACATACCATAGTCAAAAAGAATTAGAGTTATTTAGCTTGTTCATTAAGGGAGAACACATTAAGAGAAGCCATGAGGTATCTTGGTAAGAGGGAATTGGGAAAAGCTTGTTGTAGGATTTGGGTTTGTGCTGGGTATCTCTAAGGAGCAGAGAAGAGGTTAAGGAAGTGGGGAACAATTTTGAACTGGACAGAGTCAAGAAGCAGGAACAATTCAATAATTAGATATCTTAATTTTTATCCAGAAGGTAGGAGGATTAAAACAGGGCCAGAGTTGTCCTTGAAAAAGAAGCAGGACCCACTCATGTTGGAAGAAGATGTTGAGTCATATTTGTTTCCAGAGTGGCCTTATCTATTGCCTTGTTCCAACTACAGAGTAGCCTCATCTGATATTTGTTTATATTCATTGAACACTTTTTTATGTTCAGTGAGGAACAGTGGGTCTCACCAGCAGCTGAAGAGTTTTTCACATCCTGACCTGCAAGCATTAGTCCTCCCAAATGTGGGACCCTGCCCGTCTCAGTGTTTCTGACCTGAAGTGGTTAAGTGTGCCTCATCTAGGTGGCAATGGTGAGGGAGGGCAGATCTTTCAGAGCATCTATTCTAATTTCCCACCTCATGCAAGAACCCCTCAGCAACATCCCCTATAGAGTGGGGGGCTCACTGTCACCCAAAATAGCCCCTCTCATATTCCTATTGTCAAAACTAGGTTGTCTTCCCCCTACCTTCTGAATTTCAGTGATTGGGCCAGCTAGGCAAGGAGGCTTTTATATCATTCTGACAGAGAGGGGTAAATTAAAATTTGTAGAGATGTGATAGGACGAAGGAAAAGGGTTTATGGCTTTTAGGAGTCAGCCTGTGGGAAGGTAAACATATGTGAGAAACTGATGGAAGATAAGGATTGTCTTAGTAAGGTTTGTTTTGTAGCTTCCTCTCACTGATAGTCTATCTAGAGTTGTCTCCTGTGATTAACTTTTGCCCTTCCTGGTGGAGAGGAGATGGGGGATACCTTACAAAGGGTAATTTATAGGGAGAGGGCAGAGAACTTTTCTGTGTCTACTTCTCAGTTGTCTTCTGCTGTAAATAATCCTTATGCCAAAGTGGCATATTTTGGGGTGGAATAATCTGATTACCTACACTCCTATATGTTGTTTGAAAAGATAATGTATGTACTTGATTTTTAAAAATACTGTATGGGAGGTGGGGATATAGCCCAGTGGTAGAGCACAGGCTTAGCATGCACAAGGTCCTGGGTTCAACTCCTAGTATTTCTATTAACAACAACAACAAAAAATACTGTATAAAAGAACATACAGTGAAGATGTATTAGCTTAGTCCTCAGCACCTCCCAGGTCTCTTTCCAGAGTTCATGTATGCCTATGCCAGCAATATAGGTATTATCTACCACTCCCTTTTTACCCATAGTAGCATTCCAACCACCTGGTGTTGCACATTGCTTATTTCACTTAACTTATTCATTCATGCAAGAAGTACTCACCATGCTGTTACTATGTGCCACACACTTCCCAGTGATGGGAAAACAGCAAGGAACAAACAAAATGCTTGCCCTTTAAAGTTTATGCTTTAGTGAAAAGAGACAGGCAACAAACAAATGTAAAATATAAGATCAGATAGTGACAAGAGCTGTGAAAAAATAAAAAATGAACCAGGAGAGAAGACAGAGTTGGTGGGGTCTGCTATTTTAAATATAGTCAAGACAGGTCTTCTTTAAAAAAAACAAAAACACTTTATGTATTTTTATTTATTTATTATTTTATTTTCTTGGGTGGAGGGGAGGAGGTAATTAGGTTTATTCATTCATTTTAATGGAAGTACTGGGGATTGAACCCAGGATCTCCTGCATGCTAAGCACACACTCTACCACTGAGCTATACTCTCCCACCAGGGCAGGTCTTTTTGAAGGCCTGACATTTTGAGCTGAGATTTGAAGGAAGTGAGGAAGCAAGTCATGGGGATATCTGGAGGAAGGGCGGTCCTAACACAGAACAGCAAGAGGAAAGGCCTCGAGATGGAAGCATTCTTTACAAGCCAGGGTGGCTGGAGCATGGACGAGAGGGAAAGTGGTGAGAGATGGGATTGGACCGATATCCAGGGAGGTAGTTCACTTGGGAGTCTGTTGTTGAGCATGGTAACTCTAGATTTTGTTCAGCATACTAAAAGGTTTTGAACAGGAAGGACATGATCATGTTTACATTTTAAAAGGATCATTTTGGATCCTAGGTGGAGAATAGACTGGGGCAGGGTTGGAAGTAAAAGTTAGAAGCAAAGATAAAGTTAGGAGACTATTGCTGTATGCATAGCTTGAAGGAAGGTCTGTATCTAAACTGTATCTACATCTATCCTTCTGCTCCTCTTAATTCTTGCTATGGTGATCCATTTTATGGATGTGACATAATTTAGTTAATCCCTTATCGATGGACGTTTAGACGTCTCAACTCTTTTGCTGTTACAATGGAGCAATGAGTATCTCTTATGCTCATGTTTCAGTATTATCTGCAGGATTATTCCACAAAGTATAACTACTGGTCACAAGTTAAATAATTTCCATACTAAAATTAAATCTGGTGATCTAATTCCCACTTTGAGCCCAAAGAAACAAGTTTTTTTTGTTTTGTTTTTGTTTTTTTTAATTCTTTGCCACATCACTGCTTTGGAAATTAAAGAGAGAGGCATGTGCCACCCCTCCCACATCAGTTTTCACGTCTTTAAATATTCCCAGTCTAGCCAGCTTCTGCCTGCGCCTCCGTCATCTCCCAGCATGGACTCCATCTCAGGTGACCGAGAGAGAAACTGAGGCACGCACGTGCAAGCTTCGAAGCACAAGTCTTCCTCCGGCCTTGTGTCCCCCTTTCCCCGAAACGTTTCCTTCTTTCTCTCTTCCCTCGGGGCCAAGTTCCAAGCTGCCAGTCCCCAGCCGGGTCCCTCACCGCCCAGGACTCCGACTGCCACCCGATTCCACCCCTCCGCCCGCTCGGGGGCTGCGGAAGGGGACGTGACGCCTCCTGGTCCCCTTCGAGCCGCCGTAGCGCGAGCCGCGGGAGTTCGGCAGCTCCGGTCGCCAAGGCAACGGTCTCCGCTGCGCGCGGCGGGCGCCAGGCAGCCCGGGGGAGGCGCTGCGGGCCGGCGGCCCGGATCGGCTGGCGGCTGGACGGCAGGTGAGCAGGGGCCGGGGGAGCAGAGGCGGCCCAAAGGCACGGCTTGAGGCGTCGACTTGTCGCGGCGGTCGAGGGGCTGGGCCACGGGGGGACCCCCGGGAAGGAGACGGGGGCCTGACCTTTATTCCCCGCCCATAGGCGCCGGGGCGGCGCCCCCTCGTGGCCTTTACCCCCGCCTGGCGCTGGCATGGAGTTCGCTTTGGGCTGTTGATTATGTTTGTGGACCACTGGCCTGATGCGAAAGTTTCTTTTTAAAAAAAAAAAGCCCATCTTATTTGGGAGTCGAGGAATAACTCTAAACTGCAGAAAATGTACGTCTGTGCGACTCTTCTGGGGCCAGAGGGGATTGACTTCTTTGTACATCAGTTTTTCCATCTGCAGAATGGGGATGATAGCACCTGTCTTAGAAGGTTATTACAAAATAAATTTATATTTCAAGTCTTTGCAGGTAAGTCCTCAATGCTTGAGAGCTTTTATTATTACTACTGCTACTACAGGGAGGTCCATCAGTGAGCCTGTACCGTG